GCTGTACTTTTGGTGTATTTACTAAGGTTTTGACAAGTTTTATTCCCAGCCAATGAGATAATATTTGTGATCGGGTCGGAATCACTTCACTTCAGTCACCTCGCTTGCTTTGCTAGGTTGTGTTCGCTTCACTAATATACCAGTAAATTAGGCTACGAATCCTGATGAGAACTGGAAGTGGAATCTTTAGATAATTAACTTCCTCATAGAAGCCCAAGAAAGTAGTTAAAAGTCCAAGGACTTCTAAAAAAACCCAAGAAACGCAAGGACGTCTTCAGTATCCCCCCTAGTATCCCATACATTTCTTTGTAAATCAAGAAGAGCGTGTTGCTCCTTCTACGTCACTAGCCCAGTCTCCCCTCTCGCTCGGTCACATTTTGAAATCTTCCTATTTTCGCACTTTTGACCGCTCGAAAAAAATAGAAAGAAGCGTCAGAATCAAAAAATTCTTTCGACAGGTTTCTTAGAATAGCTTATATTTCGATATGAAAAAGTAAAAAAAAAAAGGGTGATAGGCACTTTAACAGTATACCTGTCTTCCTCCTTGAGTTCAGGTGGTTTAACAATACCACTAGTACCAGGACCACTGTATCAATCATCAAACATGAAGAATATGTCAGTTGGTGCACTTCATTGTATGCACTTGATTAGATGCAGTTGATCAAATGCACTTGATCATAATATATGCACTTTACCATATGCACTTGATGCACTTGATTATATGCGATTGATCATATGCACTTGATTGCATATTCATTTACAAAGTCCACTTTTACCTTTTCTTTTTCTTCTTTGATTCTGGAGAAGGGCTTCGTTTCCTCTTTTTTGCCTTCAAAGCTAAAGAAGAAAAAAAGAAAAAAAATTATAATTTATAGGTGTTAAATTTTAAATAACACTTTACATTCACATTTTAACGATATTAACAATTTTATCAATATTAATATCAACACTTATACAACAATATATATCTATAAGTCATATTATAATTCATTTAAAAAAATATCTATTAAAATTAGAAAAGGGTAAAAATGGAAATGTTATGTTAGTGGAAATAAAAAGAGTGAGTAAAGATTTATTGTACACCTTCTTAAAAAGCATTTAATACACTTTATTACTTGCTTATCCACATCAATGCTATGCACATGACATTTTAAAAAAAAACTCCTATCCAGTCAAAATGAAGTTAATTGGATTGGATAAGATACCAAAAGGTTATGGAGTGAGATTAACGTCTTTCTTACCTGAGTCAGGACTTGAAGGCTGAATAAATAAATAACAAAATGGGTTAAAATCAGAGCTCATGATATTGATAGAATTAATATGTAAATGTATACATAATTATAATAAGCACATAACTGTTAGCTACTGTACAAACCTCATCAGAACTAGCACCACTTCTGAAGCTCTTTCGTCTACCTGTAAAATATAGAATTAATCATGAACAAATGCTTCAGCAAAAATAAGCATTCTTATAAACTCTGGACCAGTGGTATAATGCAAAGGAAATGGTTGTGCTTACTGAGCGATGGTGATGTTGTCCCAACACTGCCACTCTGAAATGTTATGAAATTATAGTTAATAATTGGTACCATAATTATATATGACAAAGTATGCATGAAAAACATATTAGGTTGACTTGACTTAACCATGGAAGAGAATACTATAACTGTACCTCTATTTCAGACTGTGTGAGCTCATAATCTTCTTCATTCATCCACTCATTAAATTCATCCAAATCTGTCAACCAGCGGGCATTCACCTAGCAAAGAATATTACAGGAAAGTGTGCTAAGCAGTCATTTACCATTGATATTGATTGCAATTTTGTAAGTAAGTCAGATTACAATATCATGAACAATTGGCATACCACATGCTTGATGATGGCAAGCATGCTAGAAATATTGTAATATTGAGTACTACCAAGTATATGTGAAGGTAAAAGTAGACTGAACTGTCATGTTTGAGATATTCCATGAAAGAAAACCTCTTACCTGCCATGGGCCTTTATGGGTAGGTTCCTCTTGTGGTTCATCTACCACATCACTGCTAGACACCCAGGTATCATAACTATTCAAGAATAAAGATTAATGAAATGTGATGGTGATACCACTTAATTAGTACAATACGGCAAACAAATAGGGCTTACCTGTCAGGGTAGTACCACCAATGCACAAGAACTCTGTCATCTTGTTTCTTCAGAGGTCTCAGCCAGTCTTCTACAGTGTATCAAAATAATACCAAGTATAATAGGACAACTGATGAATGTCAAGCTCAACATTGACTGATTGAAAAAGGGGTTTAGTATTCGCCTGTTAATGTTAAATCCTGGTGTTCAATACTCCTTTTCACTGTTCCGTTCAGTGACCATGAATAATAGTTCCAAGTCAAGGCTAGAGTTGCCGCCCATAACAAAACTATGCTTTTTATCATGCGCAGCAACGCAAATTTCGGCTTGGAAATGTTATTTGTGGTCACTGAAAGGAAACTGTAAAATGGAGTATTTATTATTTATTGTTATTTGTAATGTAGATATTTTTTCTGCTGTACATTGTCGAGCCTAATAGGGTGAAAAAATGTCTACTTRTATTTCACCCTAAAATAAGTTATTTATTATCCAACTGAGCTTACTTTTTCTCAAAAAGAAGGCTTCAAAAAGTTTTTTCTTATTCTTTGAACTAGTTGTCAATTTTTTTCTGTACAAAATAGCCTAGAGTACAAATGTCCCAGGAAAAATCCTGCATTTTTTTTGTACTCTAATTTGAATAGTTGGATAATAAGAAGAGAAAATAAAGATTTACAAATTCCTAATTATCATGTATCATACCTTCTGGCATGGGTGGTGGGGGTCCATGCACAACATGAGTAGCTAGAGCTTTGTCCTCAACTACAGCACCCTGAAAAGTACAAATAATTCAGACTAAGCTAGACTGTTTAATTAATACATCTCACAGCTAAGCATTATTAAATTAATAATATGTTATCTTTATTATTAGTACAATTGTAATTCTTTGAGTTTTCATGACTGTCATATCTATATAAAACTGAAAAGCTTCAAATTCTATAGATGGATATCCTGAAACAACCTCTGTGCTGATCACAGTCAGCTCACTGCTAACTCACAGATCAAAATTAAAATTCAGCACTAGTAATTATTAGGTTTCCTGAAGKGAGAAAAAGAGAGCCYGGAGTAAAATCCTTGAACAACCCTTGAATCAAGGGAAAGACCTAACAAACATGGGATGCCTGGACTTCAAATAGACTTTTTATACAGTAATGATAAAGGGGTAAATTTTACGTCCTAGGACTAGCGTCCGAAATGTCAGTAAGTTTTTTCATCTTTTCATGGTGTAAAATTTACCCTTTTATCATTACTGTTTCATTAGAAACACCGACGCAGCTCACACTAGTTTTTAGCTACATGTTTTATCTCTTTTAATACAGCATATGTTACTAACATTGTGTCTCTTTACGATGTCTTTTAGGTTTCCAATCAACTTCGGCTCTACATCAGGTGCAAAGAACACTTGAGGGATGACCAACAATTTATACTGTTGGGAGAAAATTAAAAAAAAATGTTAAAATTCCAGCGCAAAACTGGAATAATGTATAGTGAACAGAATAATTCATTTCAATAATATTTATAAAGGCATGTCTCATTTAGCGGAGCTAGTTTAACCATAGCCCTATTCAATAATTAAATGATGCATTCTTTCATGTAGGGGGGCACACTTCATGTCCTTTTACATTAAACAGAGAATTCAACTTGCCTCTTTAAGAGCTTTCTCAATATTCAGAAAGAGTTCCACATTTCTGTCCATTCTGGAAGGAGACTGAAAGTCTACCCTTCTCCTGAAATCACAATATTCTTGATTAATTCAAAATCACATCTTGGCTTATTCAATTACATATACTTTTTATTTTCTTTTTGTTATGATTTTTATAAATTAAAATTTSAGTAAGTGCCTTACCATCCTTGCTCCATTCTTGTTTTATAAACCGATCCAAGAATTGTACAAAGACCACCCCCTGAAGAAAAGTCTTGGAAAAGCTTCATCTAAATAAACAAATTAAATTTTTATCATAGGCAGTAAAAGGAAAAACAATAACTACATTCTTTTACTCTAGTGGAAAATCACAATTAAAAGTTGCTTTGCTATACTACTTTAATAGTAGGGGACCAGTCATTGTTTAAGTTGGGGGGGGAAATGGGGGGCCCTCAAATTGTTTTTAGTGGAACATTTTTTGCATCAAAAACATTTTCTCAACCATCCCCCCCCTTCCCCCCTCCCCTCTGACTTAAATAATGACTTGTCCCTAAGATTGAGAAGAAAAAAGATACTTACAGGTAGCTTTGTCAGGAGTGGTTTGGCTACATTGTTACCAAAGTTGTCCTGAAAGAAACAAAAGTACATTGTACAGCATACACAAAGTGAAAAGATGTACCATTATGAAGAGCAAATACTATTCGTGTATTTTGTGAGTAGGTAGGGCAGATCAAGTGGCCTTATTTAAAGAAAAAGTAGTAGCTAATTTCCTCCAAATTTAAAATATTTTCCTTTATCTGTTAGAGCTAATTGGCTGTGGGCTACCTGTGGCAGTTAGGGAAGGTACATGTACAACAAACACTATACATAACATTTGTTACCACTACGAGTCGTAACTTTCAAGCTATTCTTCAATTTGATCATTCCTAGGTTTATCCTTTTGTCTTTAAATAAGGAAGATCGATAAAAATCTGCAATCTTGTCGTTTCTTTTACTTTCCTTGCCGGCATATGACAAAAAGATTGGCTTTTCAAAAACCTAAGAATTGAATTGAAGCCTAAAAGAACACTCACCTCTTGAAACTGAAGCAGTTGAGCGACTAGAGTAGCGAGTCCTTTATTGGTTGGAGGCTCGACTTGAACATACTACAAGTCATTCAAAGATTAAGAACATTATTAACACCATGACAACATTGCAATTGTGTCTAGACAAAGTTAGCCATGTGCGCCAAGCTGTCACGATACATAAAAACAACMCACTACAACAGCAAATTTACAAAGCATCTACATCACCTAGGGATCTGGCCTTACCTTTTTGTGGTTTTTGAGCAGGTATTGCTTGACAGGTTCGAATAAAGCAACAGTTTCTGGGGATTCATAGTATTTCCAGTCTGGCCCTCCGTGTTTCTTTCTCACCGCCATTTTGTCCTTTGACAAAACTTTCAATGCATCCTGGGTAAAGACGAGAGGGACCGGGAACCACCACGTGACACTACATCACGTGACTTCTCTTTACAAATTTTGGCGGGCAAACTTTTTTATTGATAAACGGAAAAAATAACCCTCAAATTGTTAATAATTTTTGAGGTTTTTATCGGTAAAATAGAACTAAACTGGTTTCCTTAAGTCTTAGAGATAAACAATGAATCTCAGGGAAGCGTTTCTGAGCGCAATAGAGGATGAGAACCCCAAATCTTTTCTAGATTACATCGAACAGCACGTAAGTCGTGAAAAGTGCCATGAAATGCGCCAACAAAGTTTTCAAGTTTTAAAAGTGTACAAATTTCATTTCGGAATGTTGTTTTAGAATACCAAAAATGAGACGTTTGATGTGACAGAAGTACTCCAGACCTTTTCAAAGAAGCTGCATGAAAGATTGTGGGTAGGACTGAAAACACTGTGTAACAATCAGATACTGAACGCAACACCATCTGCAGATACTGATGAATACGATGTCACCCAGAATGAGGTACAAACTGCTAAAATAATCAAATAAATCATTGTCTCTTTATCTTTTTGTTTAAGAAAATAGCTTATGAAGTGTATTAATAAAGATCAAGATACTGTATTCTAAAATAAATGCTTTAATGCTTTATTTTTTTTTACGTGTTTAGAAGACATCAATAATGTTGTCATGTTTACAAGGGATAACAACAGTGGCATTGTGTTCCATTTCGATGGATAAACCATTTATTCCACCTGCACTTTTTGAAACTGCTGTCATTCTTCATGGTATGTGTTTATTAAAGAATTAATCTAAGTTATAAGCTGAAGCTGATTATTACGTATGTTTGCATAATGATGATGATGGTGATGATGATGATAACTTTATTTACAAGTGAGATAAGATGTTTTAACTTACAAGAGTTATTTAACATTTAGTCCTTCATATATGAAATTCCATATGCAAAAGTAAAATGATCGGCTTTAGTTTATTTTATTGCCATTCACCTAAATAATGAGTAAATAAAAAATGCATGCATATTATGCTCTGACAGTTATGAAGCACAGTCAGGGATTGGCAGAACAAGAGAGAAGTGTTAAGAGAATCTCAGTAATAACACATCTGTAACCTTTTGTTTATTTAACTTTTGTTAGAACACAGCAGGGTTCCACAATTGTACTATAGATTATTTCTAGTTCAGTTGTTTTGACCGCCAAGACCCCCAACTGCCCCTACGCTGGCATGGTTCTGATCTTAAGAACGCCGCACCCTTTCCCTTGAGATCTGCATGTTCCTAAAAACCCCATGACTTCTATAATTCCTGAGAGCCCTGTTACAAAACTATAGAAGGTGAATGTAGCGGTACATGGAAAAGGAAATATTCCTCTGTAATGAAATTAAACTTTAATATGATGATAAACAGGGGTCATGATGTGCTTACCTGATGACAATCAGAAACTTCAAGGAAGTATTGCTCAACTATGTGAAACTTGGTAAATAATAATGTGTATTATCTTTAATTGTTTGGTACTCAGAAGGGTCTATGAATCATTAATATTATTCATAAAGTATAGCTAAATGAGCTACATGTACATGCAATTCACTTATGGATTATGACAGGGAGAAGTTTGATTGTTTTATTATGATAGTTCACCATACAGTATATCTAGTTTGTTAAATGCAAAAATCCAAACTTGATGTCCAAATTTTCAAATAATGATGAATTTAGTATAGCGCTTATCCATTGCTGTCCTAAGCACTTTACAATCAATCAAAATCATATGAGATTTACAAGTATAATCATCAACTTATTACGAATCAATAAAGATACTAATGTACTATTATGTATGGTTTTGATGTAGGTTTCTAAATGATCTGGAAGGGAAAGAGGAACTCATAACTCATACATTACCTTTTCTTGTCATAAGAAGCCTTGCTAAGGGAACAGTAAGTCGACATTCTCCAATGCTCATTAATTAGTTGTTATAATAGTTTAATAATAAATAGCTAACAGAGCAAAACCAAGAAGAATATTGACCAAAGTCTTTGATTATTGGTAACTGTTGGATATATCTTTGAGCATCAGTGTGCATGCGAGTGAAGGTCTGTAGTCATGGTTATGATTTAGCTAAATGTAAATCTGAATATTTAACTAGAGAGGTGAGGATTTTTATCCAATTCCAGAGCTCAAAATAGAAATGTTTTTTAGCCTGCCATAGTAAACGAGCATGGCAAGGAGGTCATTCCAGTAAATTTTGTATGTCATTTTATTATTCTTTTGGCAGTGCATCGTTATTTTTGCCTGCCAAACCTGAAAGTTGGCCTGTCATTTAGCCATTGGCAGGCCGCTATTTAGAGCCCTGAATTCATTGCTTTTGTTTTAGGTGGCTGATGTGAAACATGTTTGGGGTGTTCGTCAAGGGCTCTTGTTAATGGATTTTGATGATGAAAATTCTGAATCATTGAAACAGCTCTTACAACAGTGCATGATTCACCCCACATTTTTACGTGCTGAGGAGGTAGGTAGTTAAGTGTTTAAGTTGTCAAACTGTAGATCTAACTCTGGCATTATTTGTCATTGTTGCTATGGCAACCCCTGTCCATCTCTCCTCAGTAATCATCAAGGCTGCTATGGCAACCCTTCACCCATCTCCAGCAATCAACATGGCTTTATAAAGCACTTTTTTTAAGTGATATTTTTCTCTTTTCTAGGGCCACCGCTTTCTAAGCTTTTTGTTTGGGATTCATCCTGGATTCATAAAAGAACTACACAAGACTATAAAAAATCAAATTCCTGTTTGCTCAATGTAAGCTATCCCTTTTCTTGCTTTCTGTGCTTTTCAGACATGAATTCAAAATGATAAACGTAGTGTATACAGGTTTCTGGGGTCAATGTTTCTTGTAATTAACATGGATCTTATTTCAAAGGGATGTTCTCAGTACCTATGGTGAAATTTACTTCAGAGCATGGAGAGTGGCCTCTGGTCCATTCCTTGAGGTATGTGTGCAGGCAGCAATTTTAATGTAGCATCTTAAATGCAGAGTGTTCCATGAAACAATAATTGGAACAATGTCAGATTCTAATATAACTAATTCAAATATGGCGATGAATTTGAATAACTATTGTTCTGCACTGACTAGCAACTGACTGGCTTTGTGTTCATGTGGAAACAAAAACGTTTTCATATGTATGAGAGGCTGGTCATTGCAGAACAATTTGTCGTCATATTTTAATTATATGCATAACTTGACGAATACCAGTAACTTGACTTGTTTTACTTGAGGCATTACTTCTCTATTGGTTTCTTTGCAGGTAATAGAGAATGATTGCTTTCAGAACCTCATGTATGCTGCAGTGCATGCCCAACGTACTGGGACTCAATCCATGGCATCAAGACTAAGAAAAGTATTTACTTTTGATATCATTATTAAATCACCTGGCATACTTTATTAGTTGGCTGCATGTGATAAATATAAGTTGTAATATCCATTTTTTCCTGCTTGAACTTCAGGTTCTGGGATATCTACATCAACAGAAGAAACAACAAGGTGTTGATGAAGCCCTCGTTAGACTTTATCAACCAATTATTTGGAGAGCCTTCAAGGTACTTACAGTTCATATAATGGCCCTTTATATCTTGCAAGGAACAAGTTATTACTTATACTACACGATTATTTTAATTTATTGCGGGTTTCATTAAGTTTTGAAATTTTAGGAGAAGATCAAGAACTAGCTGGAGAGTCCAGGCAGCTTGATTTTTATTAATTCTTGGTATAATGAGAGAAGATCTACCATTGTAGTTTGAGCCAGAGAATTTTGCTCAGTTACCTGAGCATTCTCCGATCTATTATTAACCAGATGATATGTTGATCTGAAGCATCATTTTTCTTAGGTTGCAAATCCAATGGTGCGGGCTAATGCAGCTGCATTACTGATTGATGCATTTCCTTTGCAAGACCCTGATGCTAATAATGAAGAAGTGGATAATCTGCTCCAAAAGCAATTTGACATTCTTCAGGTATAAACACTTTCTCTTGTCTGTTAACTCCTTGGAACACTGATTAAAATATTACATTAGCCTAATAGCTCATGCCCGTGGCATTGTAGTCATTTCTCTTCTGTTTCCTGTAATGGAAAAAGGACCAAAGTAGTCTCCTTGGTACCAATGCCATATCTAGTGGTGCTCAATTCAGGTTGGATTAATAATTGAAGTTGACATAATATTAACCATGCTTTCTATAGAATTTGCTTGAGGACCCATCTCCAGTTGTCAGAGCCACTGGTGTACATGGTGTGTGTAGGATTGCTGGTGTGTTTTGGGAGTTGATACCAGTCACAACCCTGAAAACCTTGCTTAACAAACTGGTAAGTTTTGTTTCGTAAATGACTACTTGTGTTTAAACTGTCATTCAAATAATAGTATAATTCAGCTGCAATGCACTATTGAATTATCTTTATATTATAATACTTGCAATACAGATATGTGAAGTTGCCTTTGATGCCTCTTCAAGCTCTGTCAGGGTGGCAGTTTTCCAGGTCAGTTGAATTTGTATTTGATCAAAGAGGGCTTTTAGTATGCATCAGGTTTATTGCATTGTCAACTTTTCCCTCAGTCTAAACAATTGATAAAATGTTTGTAATATTCCGTGCTTTGTTACCCAAAATAAGAAACCAAAGACATTGCTTGTTAGTAGGTTGCTTATTTGTTGCTCACTAACTTCAGCAGTACTATTGTTACTGAAGGGAATACCCTGCTTAAATAAAGGTTTTTATTCATTCATTCATTGTGATTCTCCTTGGTTTGTTGGTCATTATTATTATTAATATTCCAAATAATTACCCATTACTATACCTGGGACATGCACCTCATGTCAATTTATTATCTTTGCTTGATTTTACAGGGTTTGAAGTTTCTTTTGGAAAACCATCTCAGTCATCTCTTCCTCAAAACTCTCCTTGTTAGCCTGCGAGATCTCATACATGATAACTCTGAAAAAGTCAGAGCAGCATTTGTGGATCTATTGCTCCTTGTGAAAGGAATGAAGGCTATAAAGGTATAGTTTTGTAAACTTTCTGACTTGCTATTAGTATCATGATTTAACTTCACTTACAGGGCTCGAAATAGTGGCTTGCCAATGGCCAAATGCCAGGCCAAATTCAAGGTTTGGCAGGCAAAAATAGTTATGAACTGCCAAATGGATAATAAAAATTGCAGGCAAAATTTACTGGACATCATCTTTCACTGCTTCTTTATCTGATGATTGTTCCTATTAACAAGTGAAACTCCTCCTTTCAAAATATTCAAAAAATTACAGATCAATATTCATCAGTCAAAAATAAAAAACAGTGGCAGGCCAAATTTTTTTTTTCTATTTTGACCCCTGACTTATGATTAGTACAYTTAGTATTAGGTAAAATATTATGATAATGCTGTCCATGTATTTATTCCTTTTGTACAGTTTTGGTCCATTGTACCATTGGAGCATTTGCTTGCTCGTCTTGAGTTAGAGACCTCTGCGCCTGTGATGAGAAAGTTGGTTAAACTTCTAATGAATTCATTCCATCCATTAAACAAAGAAACAGACATTCAGGTACATGAATAACAAACTGTTAAATYGTACAGTGCAAGTGTCTTGTGTTATCCATGTAAGGCAACACTGCAAATTATTTTACACCCTAACCTTATAGCTTAAAAGATCAGTATGCCCAAGAAATGCTACCAGAAGCAACTATACAGGGCAATTACATAATTATAGAGTAGCAGAAAAAGTCATCCATGTATTTCATTTCATGATTTTTTAATTCTCTTAACAGATCACACGCTGTACAGCTCTGTGGGAGGCAAATCCTGTTGCTGCACGCAGGTTTTACCAGTATGCACATCTGCATACCTCAGTCCATGCAACTGGTAATTACGATTACACATCTACAATTTGTATACTATCACTACATGTACATGTATGCTGTGGTCCTTACCACCTTAACTTGTTACTCCTACCATTTGACCTTTAACCCTCATCCTGTTGCTGTTGTCCTGTCGGCACCATCCTGTCATGATACTGTAAATTATCAATGTTTTAGTAATAGACCCCTTGCAGCACTTTGGAATGCAGCTCCATCTGGGGACAAAACAATAGCTTCCAGTTCTCAGGAGATTGGAATTCTTTTGTTTTGTCCCCCAGATCAAGCTGCTTTGACGTCACATGCAAGGGGTCTATAGTATAGTATACAATTCAAATAATATATTATAACAAGTTGGTTTAATTGCATTTCTTTGTCTAGGCAAATTTATATTGTTACTTGGACAGTGTTTAAGCCACTGGGCTAAAAATGTTGGCTCTGCAGACAACACTTCTGTGGAAGACATAACAAGAACAGGTGAGTTGCATACAGTATGAATACATAAAGAGTGAGTAGCTATCAACTAAATTGTGTTAATCATTGCCACGATTGAGCTTTTTTTAGTTTGCTGCATTCGTACCCTCATTGTCATTGTGCAGGACCATCATTTTTTTAACCCAATAGATTTTTTGCACCATCATGTGATGGGAGCCATATTAGATGGTGACAAAATACATTTGTTTTACCAGTAAGAAATAATTCAATTCCCAAGAGCAAAGGAATTTTATTTTTCTGCCATCTTACCACAGAAAGCCCAAGTTGTATTATGGGTGTGGTCACGTGATGGCCAAAACCTCTATAAAGGTGGTTTCATAATTTTGTCAATGTTTGGATTAACTGTTTGTTATTTCCTTTTTACAATAAAAGATTCCACTGATAATAAAGAAAATGAAGGTATAGATGAGTCTGCTGATGCAGTGCTGACTCTGCCTGATGTTAACACCATTGCTGGAATTCTAGAAACCATTGCTATTTCATGGGCAGGAATCAAGGACCAGTTAGAAAAGGTATTAAGATCATGTTTTCTCTACTTTACTGTATGTGCAAAGTGGTGTACACATATTCAGGTATAGCTGCTGGTATCATTGCAGGGTATTTTATATCTTTTATTAATATGTTTAAATGTTTGTGTTTTTCAGAAAGCTAATGAATCAATCAAAGGAAAGCTTACCCAACAGTTTACCAAGGCACTGCCAAAGCTTATTTCATCTACAGAGGTATAGTATAACTCCTGTGCCTTCCACATGGTTTCATACACTTTTATTCCAGCTAAAATATGGACTGACATAATTAGATCGATGAGTAAACTTGCTTCTACTTTAACCTATTTGAGTCTAACTGTTGGTTAATTTTCTCATCCCTCACCTACTAAAAGGATGGAAGGGCAAGAGCTGCATTGGTCTTGATTTCATCTCACTTGCCATCAAACTGCTTGCCAGCCTTCAGGTAACTACCCATTTTGTAAGCGTTATATCAAAGACCCCATTGAGGTCTTAGATATATAGGGTCTTAGATAAGATTCTACAGTTATATGTAAAATTTAGTAATTATAATGTATGAATAAATTGAAGACTGAGATAATTGCCTACAGCCTCACGCAATTACGGACTTTTTGAAAAACAAACTCGTGCAAATTAATTCCAAATTGAACTCGAAACCATCTTATTACCTATACTACTACTAATTTTTTATGTAATTAAGAATTTACCTACTGCTTTGTATTTGATCCCTGTACATGTAGCATGAAGTGTCTGTCAACACATTGCATGATTGCATGCATCAGTAAAATCTACTATTAATAATGTCAACAATTTACTTACTGTTTTCTATTTGATCCCTGTAGTAAGAAGTGTCTGTCAACACTGTCATCATTGCATGATTGCATGCATCAGTAAAATCTACTATTAATAATGTCAACAATTTACTTACTGTTTTCTATTTGATCCCTGTAGTAAGAAGTGTCTGTCAACACTGTCATCATTGCATGATTGTGTTAGTACCCAAGACTATGGTCCTATGTTGGACTGCCTGTGCTCATGGGGTCAAGCAGGTGATGTACTTGAAATCATTTACACTTGCTTACTCAACAAAATGAAGGGGGATATTGGAGTTACTATGGCTAACCGAGGAAAGGTATTTATCAACTCAAAATTATTTAATTTGTTATACTAAAGAGTCTATAAATATCATGTTCTGATTGGTTGGGAGACCATGCTTTGTAAGAGCACAGCATGTGCACACACTTTAAGTTACACCATTCATATCCAATTTATAACATTGATTGGAATTTGTAAAAGAAATAAAAATCTTGTGAGGCATGATAAGCATGATGCGTAGTATTATGCAGTTMTTAAGCATTTGGGGGCTGGTAGAACACAATGTTGAGAAGTGTTAGGATAACCATTCTCTACATGCTTCATAACTGTACACAATATACACAAGTTTTCTAGTTCTTCCATATATTCATGATGATTACTCATTTCATTGACAGTTGGGTTTTGAATTCTGGCATCCCTCACCTTCTCAAATGTTCTGTCATTCAGTTCTCTTTACATTCCAGAAGGTTCCATCTTGGACAGACTTTCAATACAGAATCGCATACTAACGTTCTTGAAAGTTAATTTAAAGTTTATAATTTTTGATTTTTTTCAGTCTCATACGTCATCAAAATTACCAAAATTAGAGGTTACAACAGCACTGGATTTACTGTCTTGGCTTTTGGTGAGTAACGTCAGTGTACTGTTATGTTACTTTGTTATCATGTACTTTATTATTGATACTGTGGTTATTATTTATTATTTTGATAAGTGATGTTTGAACAATTTAAAAGACATTTACATGTAAAATAAAACATAAAACATAAATTTTAAAACAGTTTTAAATAGAAAGTTTGAAAACAATTTTAATGATTGATTATTTGTTCAATCCAGTATCAACCTGCGTGTAGAGAGGCTGTAATGAATCATGACAAACGATTAGCAGACATTGCTGGTATTCTTAAGGATGTCACAGTAAGTTTTCTAAATTATTTTTTAATGTTAAGTGATCTATTTTATATTAATTATCATGCAAGGTATATCTGTTCAATCCCCTTATTAACTGGGTCACAACTTGAACATCTATTCACTTGCTTCTATACCTATTACAGCACTTCTCAGTCACACACGTAAAATCGTACAATTTGCCATTGTGACAACAAAGTACAGGTTTTTGTGGAYGCCAGTCAATGCGTTTCCATGACATTCCATAGGCATGTGCCCTTAAAAAATTTGTGTTTTCCGACAATGCTGGGAAACACTTTGATTGGTGTCCACCAAAACTCTATTATGCCGRAAAAAAATTTCACGGTTTTGTGAGTGTGATTGAGATGAGCTGTAAACAAGAAGAGTGATGTGCATGACTAATTGGATAGATTGATGTATTCATTAAACTCTCTTTCTAGAATCTAATTGAGGGAGATTTACTTGGAGCCACTAATCCAAAAAGTAAAAGGTCCAATAACCATGACACTACACTGGAACTGTATCCAAAAACCCTCAAAATGTATTGCCACTTGCAGATCCATCTTCACAGCAAGGTAATCTTGTTTGTAATTCGTAAATCTTTAAATGCCACACTGCTAAAAAATCCAATGTAGGTAATGTTTTTTTAAAGTTGGCTTTCCTTGTTATTCTTCATGTAATTTCAATTTATATTAAAATTCCTTGTCAGAACTGTTCAAGTGAGAGTGTTAAGGCAGCTGAAACAGTCACTGAACTGCTGGTCTGGGCTGAAAGAGTTTTACTTCCATCATTGCCTAGTTATAGGTTTGTTTTAAAATATCAATAAAAAATATTAAATTATTTGTCATAAATATACTTTGATATACTGGCAAATATACAATGCTAAAAACAATGGCTTCTCAATGGACAGACATGACCAGTTGCGAGGAGCATTCTAAAGGCATTTGGTTGGACAAGTGCAAAACAGTTATTTCAACCAGCCATTAATAGCCTTGATATATTCTATTTATTGTTCATGTCACACTTTACAATGAGATTTGCACACCGACACTTAGTCTGCTACGCAGGTGCTGTTAGTATCATCATGCAACGCTCACTCCCTTATAAAGTAGAGGGAATGAACGTTGAGTGAGGACACTAATAGCACCTGTGCAGGAGACTGGCACTCTGAAATGAAAGTTTGTTATGTTTTACTTAGTATTTTCACAGTATATGCCATTGTTTTTAATTCTAAGTGATACTAGTGAAGGTCTAACAATGGAAAAGGGAAAAAGAACAAGAAAAGAAGACGACTCTAAAGACCTGTCTTGTGCTAAAGATACCTTGGAGGTTTGTTGAAAACTGCAACTGGTGTAATGACTATATGATTGAACCACAATGTATACTTGCAAGTTTAACTTTTATTATTAAACCAAAGGCATTGAAAAAAATGAGAATACTTTTGGTTTTCACCAGGTCATCATATCTTGTAGCAGTGAATTACTCAAGCTTGGAATGGCAGACAACACTTTTTGTTGTCAAGTTACACTGCTTACAAAGACTTTGGCTCAACTTGGTAAGATCAGCTGCAACATAAAAAAAGATTACTGAAGAAATAGAAAACGTGCGCGCGTATTGTGTGCAGTCATAAAGCACGCGGGGGTTGGCAGAACAAGAGAGAAGTGTTAGGAGAAGCACAATGGGTAGCGAAGTGCTTCTCGAAACTTCTCGAATGATCTGCCAATCCCCAAGTGCTTTATAACTCCACACAGCACAGCAAGTAAGTTTTTTATTTCTTTTTTAAAATACAAATTACAAGAATGGCGAAAATGACAGTACGCGAGCGTCCTGTGTGCTCTCATAAAGAACGCGCTCCCAACCATTCAAAACGCGAGTTATAGAACAGTTATTTTTTTAATATAAAAGTTCATAATATTTACTGGAAAAAAATATATGCTTATATTTATTATGCAGGTGAAAAGGGGCTTCCATTTCTGCCTTCGTTGGTAGAATTAATGTACCAGATGTCTCAAAGAATGATATTCCTAGACGGTAAGACGATTTTCAGTGAAGTCACTAGTTACACGTGAAATAGATAATACACTAATACACATTGGCAGGCCCTAATTCCATTGTTTTTTTGTTTGTGTGTGTGTGTGTGTGTGTGTGTGTGTCTAATAGACTATTACATGTTGACTGACATGTTTTTGTTTTGTTTTTGTTTTTGTTTTTGTTTCACGGGTTGAATGCCTTCACTCTAACATTCCAAAAAAATGCATTTCTCGGACAAGGACTTAAATCCGTAGGACCTGTCTCCCAACCCTTCCTAACCTACAGTGAAATAGGGGACATAAAAGAACCTGTTGAATTATTCGTATAAGAGTAGGGGATTGTCTCCCGGTTCAACAGCCTTGGTAAGCACTGGTGGCGTGCGCTGCTAATGCGCCGCCTCTCACCAATGCGGCCCGAGTTCGAGTCCTGCCGATCTCGATGTCGTATGTGAGTAGAGTTGTTTGTTGGTTCTCTCCTGTGCTTCGAGGGTTTTTCTCCTAATTCTCCGGTTTTCCTCCCTCCTCAAAAATCAACTCCTAAATTCTAATTCGATCTATGGGCTTTCACTTAGTTTGGAGCCTAGCTCTGTTGTGATTGTCCCACGCTGTGATACGACAGCGAAAAGCTTTGTAGATTTTTAGATTTTTTCAACAAAACACTCATGATTGTAAGCTGCAGGGCTGCTACTTGCGCCTAAATACGCAGCCCGTAAAGTCCTCCACTGGTTATGATTGTGAAGCGCATTGAGACCATGTAAAATGCGCTATATAAGAACCCCGTTATTTTAATTTTTTTATACCTCACAAGGCTGTATTGTAGGAATTTATGATCTCGATTATTCACTTTCAGAGGAGGAAAGACCTACAGACTACACTCAAGGGATGCTGACTGACATTCTACAAGCCATTGCTAAAAACAGTAGCTCTGAAAACATTAGTCAGGTTTGAAGTCCAGTCTATAGAATAAGATTGATTGAGAAATTCCCTTAATAGCCTGCCTTTCCGGATATTTTTGAAAAAGGATTTAAATTTTTTTCTTTGAGGATTGGCCTTCTTTCCACATGTATCCGGTTAATACGCCACTTGAAAACGCAACTTTTTGAATGCGTATACGTGTGGACGGGCGAAAACGATTCCAAAAAATAGATAATAAAAACACTACCCTGGACGTGTGGACGACAATTTTCTTGACAATGCACTAAAAAAGCCTGTTTTCAAAAATATTCGGATGTGTACGTGTGATGTGTCGACGGTGCTTTATGCCTTCTAATAGTGTGAAAAACGTTACATTAAAATATGCATGTCCTGATTTTGGAATCCCTATAATTTACAGTACTATGTTGTTGAAATGATGTTAGATTTATGAAACGTTTTGCGAGATTTCATCAAATTGATATAGTACTTATATATTTCAACGACCAGGTTCTCATGGGTGTCAAAACTCCACTGGCTGAAGTACTCAAGACATATGAGTGTAAAAGACAAGCAGTGATTGCTGGTTTTGCAGATAGACCCCAGATTATGGCTTGTACCATGGCTGCCTGTTTAGCAGAACTCTCGCATAAGGTAAACTAACTTGTCGAATGTCCTTATTTTGCAGTACTTTTCTTTGTTATTTAATTTATCCAAGCGTTGTTCTACCCAGTTGTGAGTAGTCTTCTACCCTTTGTTACTGTCTATTTAGTGTAGTACCCTATTACATAAAAGCTTTGCGCCATTTCGCGATATATCGCGATTTTGGGTATCGCATATTTCGCCACACTTTCGCAAAAAAAGCAATATCATACTTATGCAATCTGTTCTGCTTTAGACTTTAGACATGCAAGAGGAGCCCACTGCTGCAGACTTGCCAACCTTGTCATTTTTTGTACTTAGTGTACTGATTAAATCTAAGATTCTCCTCAGGTATACATAATAACTTATCAGTATTTGTATCAGGTTTTTGATATACATTGAAATCTGTGCCAACTTAAGATAACAGTTCACCAAAATGTACTACATATTAAATGTGTACATTTGATCGCTTTCTTTTCTACAAAATCGTATCAAATTAGAACTGTCCTACATACATTGATAAATATATAACTTTCTTTCCATTTCAGGTCATTTACTGAAGAGCTTGAGCAATGTATTGTATCTGGAGCTATTCAAGATGCTGAATTACTTGCATCAGCCACATTTCTACTGGCAGTTATTGTAAATGGTATGCACTTAAGAATTTTTTTCCAGGGAGAGGAGAGGGGGAAGTGGGATTTAGGCTCAAGGGAGAGGGGGAAGTGGGGCACAGAAAAAAATCCGAATCACGACAAGCTGATCTGAGAAAAAAATTGCAAAACTGAGGTGTCATCTTTCCTCTTGAAAATATAGATTTCCAGGCCTCCAAATGAAAAAAATAACGATGCTAATAAGAGATTGATAACGGTGACACAATAACTGAGGAATTTTATATTTTTATTGCAAAGGCGGGCATATTTTTTTTCGTTACTCAATTTTTCGCAGGCATCATGATACCTCTGTTTTGCAATGACATCATTTCTACATCACTATTTTAGATCAGCTGGACAGCAATATCACTTTTATAGTAAACTATAATAGGAGAATATGAGAAACAAGAGGGGCCATTTTTTATGCAGCAAAGGAAGGGGGTCAGAATTCTGGTATGGGTTAAAAAACGAATCCCATCACCCCCGTCCCTCCCAGATAAAATAAACGGTCCCTAAGGGGAATTCTGGGTGTTTGTAGCAGTAGTTTGCATAAACGCATAAACATATGAATTAATTATTGATCATCTTTGATTAATTTCCAGCTAATTCGAAACTAGATAATCTAAAGTCATGTGGTTTGCAAATTCTTCAACAAATAGATCAACTGCCAGTTGATAACGAACAGTCTCAAAACGAACATCAAATGTGAGTAATTTTGTGCAAAATTAGCAAATCAAATTATCCTATTTTCGTTAGACATTTTGCTTGATGTGCATGTTACTGACACCTACCTTTGAAAAATAATTAATTCAATATTACTGCATTGGTTCTTTTCCTTTTCAGTAATCCTGAACAAATAAAAGGGATGGCTAAACAGATCTTGAACAGATTAGGAGTAGTCTGTTAGTTTATAGATTTTTTATGTAGCACAATTCTACATAAATATGCCTAGTAGCCTATGAAACACCGTTGGTTATTACTAGTTAAGTATGCAATCCTTTTACTATTCATTAAGAATAGTGCGTAAAATTACCGGTAGTTGTAATGCTAGTGACTTAATTTAATTGAGGACTTTATTGTCTAGAAATGTTTAAAAAAATGCTTGATTTTAAATACATCACACAATCATGCACCTAATTAAACGATTAGTGAAAACTGCTGTATTATACAAATGTTTAAAATTGAATTCACTAAATCTATGAAATAGATATGAATAATTATGTCAAAAGTCGAACTTCACATGAGCCGAACCTAATGGCATCTGCCTTTACCAATTGTTTCGATTAGGATTGGCTCATGTGGAGTTGGACGTTTCACATGAGCCTAATGAACATAAATAGCCCCCAAATTCTATTAGGTAAAACTTTCAGTAGACCTCAGTAGTAGACGGTAGACCTACGAAACTTTGTACTAATTTATTCCTTGAATTTAATTCACGTTTTCAAGGGCACTTGAAAAGCTCTTGAATTTAATGATTTTAACGAATCTCCTTGAAAACTCCTTGAATTTTTGCTTTGATCATTACTTGCATGGTTCAGAAATAGATCTAGTCAGAAAGATTGGAAATTCTGAAAGTCGGCCATTTGCAACCACCGTGTAAAACCTTGGCATATTTAGCTAAACATAGACCTTGGAATTTCATTTTTGGGTCCTTGTATACTCCTTGAATAGTCCTTGAATTCTAAGTGGTTACCTCAGCGTTTTTGTTGAATTTTAAGTGTTTACCTCAGTGTTCTAAGAATGCCTTCAGTCTAATGAACGCGCTAGTTGCAAATAAATGTAGCAACTCTCTTCTTGGCTAACTCGGCTAAAGCTCTCCGACGTCTGATCATCAATGCATCAATGTACCAGCAGGCATTAACCATTCACGCCTCGGCTAGGGCCAGCTCGTTGTGCATTAGTGCATCAGTGTCTTGTGCGGTGTCAATACCAGGTTTCCGGTCTTATGATATTTAAATCACCCTTGACTAGGCTGTCCCATATCATGTCCAACTGCAGCTTTGCGTTGCCGTATCAGTTTTCTTATTTGCTGGCTCTGAATGATATCCACAACACTGCTGAGTAARTTAGACATTGCACACAGCCCAAGGTAATTAAAAAAAGACCATACGATGATAGCAGCTAATTTGTGTTTTGGATCCTTGCCGTATCCTGGAATAATATCACCGAATCCGACAGTGGAAAAAGTGAYGAGAAAGCAATAAACACCATCGAGAAAGGACCAATTTTCTTCATGCATTTGAATCCCTGCTGCTAAGAAGACCAAAACCCAAGCAAAAAGAAAACACACAAAAAAGCCTTTCTCCGCAAGAAATTCGGGTTCTTTTTTCAAAAATGCCATCTCTACTTTTCTTATCATATTCTTTTGATTATCGAGCATGTGTTTTCCGATCCTTTGAAGAAGAACAAGGTTGGCGGGTATTCCAAACAACATGAAAAAGATGCAGAATATTTTCCCACCAGATGTCTTCGGAGGGACATTGCCATAACCTGAAAAAGAAAACAATGATACAAATAATAATTTTTAAGCGGCGCTCATTTGATCGCGTTTCATCATTGCAAAAATAGTACTAAGTAGGTCGTCTGACTCAAAAATAAATAAATAAATCTCATTTTTTTTCTGTTCCTCGCATAAAGTATAATTACTGTTTACTGAAGTGTTTACATGACAAAACCGTATCGATTATCATCATAATCCTGTTGTGTTTACTTAACCCGATTCAAATTTTACAATCGGTTGAGAAATTGAAAGAAGTAAGTAACGTGACAATAAATCCAAAATATTTACCAATAGTGGTAATGATCTGCATCGATAGGCTAAACGACTCTTCGTAGGAGTATTTCTCAATACCAGCGAACCCACACATCCCTATAACCAACAGGATTGATACAACGAGCGTGATAACAAGTGTAATCTGAAAGGGTTTCATGCTAGGAAGACTCACTGCTTGGTAAAAATACAATGTTATTGCCAACGTTCAAGTTCAGATCCGTGAATCAGTGCAAGAACTACGAGTTCAATTCCGACAGAAAACTTTACGTTCTATCATAATTAACTATGGAGCATTAATTGGTGTTTTGACGGCGTTACCATGACAATCAAAGTATTTTATTATTTATCTGATGAGGCGTAACAATGGATCAAGTGATTAAACAGGGGATGTTTTAGTATCTATTTTCTTTTCCTCGCAATGCCGGTGCTAAAAGAAGACTCAAAAGATATCAAAGATAACAGCATTTATTGCCGTTTTCTTGTCAGGAGAATTTCAAAAGTTTTTTTAAGAAACGTTACAAAAATAAGTTGGAAGGCAGAGAACGTTCATTCTAATGATTTTATTTTCCTCGTGAGCCAGACTACTACTGGTAGAATGCAAAACCTTTTGTTCTTTAGTATTTTTGCCTTTAACCAGTATTAAACTATAAAGATAGTGTTTTTTTAAACACTGAAAGTGGAAAAAACAATTTATCAAACCAAGTCTAAGGGTTTTTTTGTGTTTTTTTTCTTCATATTTTCTTTTGCCTTTCGAGTGTTACTACACCTTTTGCTGTTCATTAACCGCAAAGGAATATTCATTCAAGCGAAAAAGCATTATCATTAGCGCGAAGAGGCACACAATAACGCGAACGGAGTTTCAAGAGCGCGATGGAAC